ATGGCAGCGGCTGGGGGGGCCGGAGGCGGCGGGGACCAGGCGGCCGCGGGGGGTGAGACCCGGGGCGGGGGGGCTCGGGGGGGCGCCGGGGGGGGGCAGCGCAGAGGGGGCGGGTCCCTAGCTGTGATTGGCGGGCGCAGACCCTGGTGCGGGAGGGGGGTAGATGCCGGGGGGGTCCCTGGGGGGGTCCCTGGGGGGAGGGCGGCGTTGCGGGGGGAGAGGGGGGGGTTGTGGCTCATGCTCAGTGGGGAGATGCCGGGGGCAGGGGGTTGATGGGGGAGCGGCTGCTGGGGGGGGGGGGCAGTTTCCGGGGACACTGCAGGGAGGGGGACACTGAGGAACCGGGGGGGGAGGGGGGGACACGAGGGGGAAGTGGGGAGGGGAGCCCGGGGAGGGGAGCCCGGCAAACGGGGGGGTTGGTTTAGACCCTGGGACGGCGTGGGAGGGAGGCTGCAGTGGGTCTGGGTGTGGGGCGGGGCGGAGTAGGGAAGACCAGGGAATTGCTGCTGCTGAAGGGGGAGCGTGTGGGGTTGGACATACGCAAGGGGGGGTGTCTGGTGTACAAAGAGGAGCTCTGGCCCCCATGATGAGCAGGGCGGGTTGCACACGGGGGGGGGATGGAGAGAGAGATGGGGCGGGAGTGGGATTTCCTGCTTTTCTCCCCACTCGGAGGTGCCGTTACGTGTAGCTGTTCCGCACCTGCTCCTCCCCAGAGGCAGCTGCGTCTGTGTCGTGTGAGCCATTCCCGGCGTAGTCTGCCGGATTTCCCCCTCACGGTAGCACTGGGCCGGCCTGACCGTTCCTTGGATTGGAATGCGGTCAAGGGAGGGAAATTCCCCACCCTTTTATCGTATTTCCTGGTTTGACTCCGGACAGGTGTGTGTTTGCTTAGCCGGCTGCAGCAGGAAGCCAGTCACTTTACTGCATCTGGTTCCCTTCAGTTGATGCCAAATCCCCCCCCGGGCACCTGAAATGCTGCCCGTCTCGGTGCCAGTCTTTCTTCCGGGACTCAGGAGTTGAAATTAGCAGCAATCGATCACGCTGGGAAGCAACATCTAGATCGGATCATGGGCCCACCTACCCGGTGTCCTGCCTCCGACCAGAGAAATCCTTGTCTCCCAGCTCCCCAGAGCTACTTGGCCCCTGCCCCGATGGGCGCAAATCTTTGGTGGTGGTTGACAGTTTCTATTATGGTAGGGTCTACAATCAAACTTCCACTGTGCTCGGCGTGGATTCCTTCGATTCCGGTCGACGCCATGCAGATTTCTGTGGTGTTAGGGGCTGGCCAGACACAGGGCAGAAAGCCCCGTCTTTTGTTTCATTAGACCGTCTTTGGCTGCTGAGTGGGGAGCTCATCATCTGTGAACAGGAGGAGAAAGTCCTGAGCTGTGGGGAAAAGGCCCCCGGGGTGTCTCCAGACGAGCTTGGGACATATTAACGCCATGGGACGAGGGCCTCCTCCGGACGCCCGTGTTCTGTTCTGGCCAGCCTGCATCCGAGGAAAAAGAGGGGGGCAGAGGAGGGCTCATCAGGGGAGCAGCGAGCTGATCTCGCCATGGGCGGCTGCAGGAGCGGGTCTAGTTGAGCCGAAAACACAGGCTGATGAGGGGTGGGGATGAAGCACCAGGGGGAAGAGCTACTGACGCTAAGCGACAACCCCAGCACGAGAAGAAATGGGGATAAACTGGCCAAGCAGTGATTGAGGAAGTTTTGAACCACCTGAGGGAGAGGGCGAGCCATCCCTGTGCAGCGTTATGTGCAGCTGTTCCCCAGCTGCCCCGCCCCAGAAGTGGCTGCATCTCAGCGCCGCAAGCCCCCTGAATGCATCCTGCGTGTGGTGGGGCCGGGGAGGGGGAAGCCTGCCTTCTGCATGTGGATTAGATCAGTGTGCAAGGGGGTGTCGCAGGATTTTGGCATTGGGGGATTGGCTGGGTGCAGCGTTGCAGGGAAGGGGTGTGTGTGGAAGGCCATGGGGGGGTTGATCTGGGGAGGGGGACACCAGGCGGGCTGGGCCCTGGGTCTGATGCCGGGGGGGATGCCAGGCGGGCTGGGCCCTGGGTCTGACCCGTCCCTGTCCCGCAGGGAACCGTCGGTTGAAGTACATCAGCCTGGCGGTGCTAGTGGTCCAGAACGCCTCCCTGATCCTGAGCATCCGCTACGTGCGAACCCTGCCCGGGGAGCGCTTCTTCGCCACCACGGCCGTGGTG